GGAATCGGGAAACACGGTTCTGTGTCTCTGTGGGAGGGCATTTAAGTCCATTAGCAACTCTCAGCCTTCAGACCCAAAATGGTGACACTGCAAATAGGTTTTACTTATTTTTTTTAATCGTGATGTATACCTAACTGACATTTTAGCCATTCTCCCGTCTACGGTGTGGTGGCCTTAGCATATTTACAATGCTGTAAAAATAATTTCACTCTCCATTTTCAGAAGTTCTTATCCAATCCAATCCAATCCAATCCAATCCAATCAATGCCCAATCAAAAATCACCCTTCTAAGTTCCTCTCACACTTGATTCCCCTTGCTCATATTTTACTGGCTGGCATAGGGCTGCCTCTTCTAGGAACCCCAAGTAGAATGATACAAAGAGGATTCTTTTTTATCTGGCCTTTTTCACTTAGCACAATGTCTTCAAACTTGACCACTTCTTTCCTTTTTGTAGCACTAGCATTTCCCTATAGGTACATAATGTAGGTGTATCCTGTCCACTCTAGTGGATTTGGCGGCTCACACCCTTCGGCTATGGTAAATACTGTTGTCACAGATACTGGGGACCAATGTAGACGTCCTTTTCTGGGTGACTATGAAATTATAACTTTAGCTTTTTACAGACTGCAGCTGTTCCCATGGTGGCATTTGTGTGGAAGGATCGAGCCTCTCTGCCCTCCACAACAGTATCCACAGCCTGGTATAGAAGGATCCAGTCTCTCTACATGTGAGCCGCACTATTCACAGCCTGTTTGTTGTGGTTGCTCTGACGGATGTGTGGGTTTGGTCTGCACACCTCTATATAATGACACTGCATCCTTTTGTCTTGGTCGAGTGCTCCTGTCTCTATGAGGTCTTCCCAACTCCTCGGGCCACCTTTGAACTTTTATTGCTTGCTACCGAGTGACAGAGCTCTGCATGTGTTCTGGACACTAGACCATTCTCTGGCATGTTGTTTATGACTGTTTCCCTCTCCTATGTGGGTTGTCTCTTCACTCTGTAATTCCTTTGTTGCATGAGTGTTTTTGATTTTCATAAAGTTCAATTCACATTTTCTTTCTTTGTGCTTTTGGTGTGAAATCAAGAAATTGCCATCAAATAAAGATTTCTTTTATGTTTTATTTTCTAAAAGTATTATAGCATTACCCCGTGTGTGCAGATCTTTGATGTGCTGTGGGTTAATTTTGTATTTATTGTAAGTGTGGGTCTAACCTGGTGCATTTATATTTGGCCACTCCAACTTTTCTATCACCATTAAACTGCTAAACTGACCAGTCTTTCCCAATCAAACAGTTTTAAAGGTTAGAATTTATGTGTGGGATCCACATGCTATCCCAGGTCTATATGTTCACTTGATCACCAAACCATCCTGTTTTGATGATCATTTTATTTTAAATCAGGAAATTCAATCAGGAAATGTGAGCACTCCAACTTTTTGTCCACTTGATTATCTTTTATGATACAGCATGGACAGAGCCTGTGTGTATGTAGACTGTGTGTGCTGTGTATGAAATGATAGGGTATGAACAGAGCCTCTGTGTGTGTGTGTGTGTGTGTGTGTGTGTGTGTGTGTGTGTGTGTGTGTCTGTGTCTGTGTCCCTCTCTCTCT